TTAACTGCATCTTTCAGCAGTTCTAATCTGCACGGCCCTGCTTGAGATGTCTCCCAGTGCTCTCTGTAGTGCACAGGCTGCCAAACACTGTTATGGCTTTGCGATAAAAAAAAAAGAGCCTGAGGTAATTTATTTTAGTTCAAATTGATGATTTCATTTGGGAAAGAAACTCACATTTGTTTGTGTCTGCAGTTTTCTCGTTTCTGGATCAAATCTTGTTCTGCAGCTTTTATTCCTATAGGGACCCGGGCAGAATTCTTAACATTACTTTAACTGTGCTGTTATTATTTTCTTTTACTGTCGGTGCACATGGATACACCCAGGAATAGCTTTTATTTTGAAAATATTACAAATGTTAAAATTTGGGTGGCACAAGAAAGTTTAAACTTGTCTGTGTGGCTCTTTCATTGTTTTTCCAGGACAATGAGATGAAGTTCCCCAGTGACCCCTAACAGGTTTTCCATGTGGGACGTACTATATGAGTGTGCATATGTGGGGGGGAGGAGGGCTGCTAATGTCTTCTGAAGAGTGAGAAGAGAGGAATGAGATGCTTTGGCCAAGACACAGCAGTAACTCTCAACTCTGTTCATTAGACAGGCTGCGTTATTCCCAACACACACACACACACACACACACACACACACACACACACACACACACACACACACACAGACGGGCCCTTGCAGCAGGTGGGCCTTTTGATTTGTCACCCAGGAAGAACCGTGTCTCATTTGCATACAGATGCCCCCTTCAGAGCAGAGGAAGTGTGTGTGCGCGTGCACACATCCACACATGTCCTCCTCTCCTCCCCTTCTGACCAAAGCTCATACAACCCTCTCTTTCTTTCTTTTTCTGTCTTTCACTTGTCTCCCTTCCTCCCCTCTTTCTATCCCGTTCTTGTTGGCTTTCTCCCAGGAGATTAGAAGGCATGTCTGTGTGTATATCTGCGAGTGTGTGCATGGCTATAAATATTTTTCTCGATTTTTCATGCACATCCTGTGTACAAGGGTGCAAATATTCTTAGGATTTATCTACTCATTTTTTTTACAGCATGCCAAGCGCATGCATTGTGTATTAGTGCATGTGAATTCACGCGTGTGCATCTGCGTGTGTGCATAAATCTCGGAGACTCCTGCACCTTGCATCTGTTCGAGCTGGCAGAGCTTTCAGGAGTCTCGTGTGCCGATGTCAAACAACGGTGGCTTGTTTGCAGACCCCTGAAACACTGAACTGATACACACATTCAAACACTCCTAAACGCACACATCAAGACAACAAGAATGAGAGCTGAATTTCAAACCAAATAAATACTTGGAGACCACAGTGGAGCTTAAAGCGTGGGGGGAAAAAAACGAGCGTTAATGCAGCTGGGCTGGACAGAGCACAGGATGATGTGAAATTAAGCTTTACAAGGACAACTATTCACGGCGTAGATGACTGTTATTTCCATAATGCATCACACTGAAAGCCGCAGTCAAAAACCTTTTCATTTATTTCAAAGTAAAAAACAAGGCTCCACAGCTTCGTTTAAGCTTTTATTTGTTTTCTTCTGTTGTTAATCAGCGTTTTCAAGAATGAAAAACCAATGAAAGCTTAGAACATGAAATTTTTGTTTGGGAATTTATATTTTTATTTTAAGCTTTATTGATTTGAAAACGTTCTTTTCTCTAAATTAAAGAGAGTCCTGGGCAAAACCGCCGCGCAGAACACACACCACTAAAAACACGGAAAGTTGTGCATCTGGTGCCTTCTTTGTACAAACGTTTACTTCATATTCTTTCTTAAATGGTTATTTTCTTTGCAGCAGACAGTTTAAATACCACTTCCCATTGAAACCAACAGGAATATTACAGTGGAGCTCTGAAAAGCACTCAAATGCAACATATTGTGCGCCCGACAAGTCTGAAGAGAAACTTCATGCTGTGATTGGCTTTCGGTTAGAGATTACATCAGAAACTCCACGGGTGCAACCACAACACTGGGAGGTTGCTGGGAGTGTTTAGTGTCACTGCTAATGCCTTGCTTGACTGTACGGTCATTTTATCATTAGTTGTAATTTTACTTCTTCCAGGATCCCAGACTGTTAATATTATTTTAGGCAGATAAATATACATTGTCGTAATAAATTTGGGTCATAAAAATATATTTCATCCGTTCTTATACCTGCGAACCTGCCACTGGGTACTCAAAGCTCAAACGGACACATATGAAAGCACTTAAATTTTGACCCAGCACTGTTTTTCCACGTGCTCTGAGGTTATGCAAAGCGGAGGCAGCAAAGGAGTGAAACCACAGAAAGACACATGCATGTTATATTTCACTGAATATTCATCATCATCAGCTAAATGTATGTTGAAAATGTGCAACTTGTAAACCTCTAACTGTCACTTAATGTCATTTAATGTTTTTCACCAATGCAATCTTGCAACTAAAGCACAAGTAATGTTTTATGATTGGATTTCGGCTGCTCTGACGACTTGTTTGGGGTTATAGAACGTTTGTGGCCTTGGCTGAGTAATTTAGAGCATTAGATGGGACGCCCTGGATTTTTCTGTGTTTAACTGAGCCAACATTTTCCCCGAAAACGCAGCCAAAGTTCTAGTAGCATAACTCTTAATCATCTCGTACATTCTTCTTATTACTTCTGTGTAATACAATAATTTTGTGTCCCAGTTCAAGTATTTAGTATGGAGAACATGAATGCTGCAATCCACTTTGTGATTTCACCAGCTCAAAACAACAACAACACCTCACAGCGGGCAGACACACAAACATATAGACACGCACACATGCGCACACAGATCGCAGCGTCCTCCCCCTCCTCCTCACTGCTCGGGCCACATGTCACGTCAGGGCAGCATTAAGAGTTTAGACAAATACAATTTCACCCCTGATCCTGTAATCCTGATCTCTGGTGGGTTGTGTGCGCGTTTGCGTGCGTTTGTGCGTGTGCATGTATGTGTGTTGTTGATGGGGGATGCAAAGTAAACCCAGTCAAGGCCCCACTGTCCCTGAGGACTTAAAAACACAGACAAGATCTGTTAACACATGAGGGAGAATGACATTTTTTATGAATTATCTATTTCACAACATTGAGACTGTCAGTTTCAATGGCTCAGATGCCACAAAGCAAAAAGACTCAGCTTTAAATATCGTGTATGTGTTTAAACATGATGAAAACATTAAAGATAATAAAATGGTTTCTTAATGGTTCACAACAGTTTCTACTGATGCATCTAAATAGATACAAATTTCTTTTGTCACATACACAGTATAGTGAAACGCGTGTGTCTGCGCTGCAGGCGTAGCCACGCCATTCCAGGGCTTGGTTTTAGAACAGCCCTTACTGGATAACGGGAGGGAATCAAACCTGCAACTCCCACTCCAAAGGTGTGTAGCCTTACCACTACACTATCCAGCTATTCTGTCAGACACACTTCATTTCTAAATGGATGAGTAAATAGATCCATCCATTCATCCATGTTTCATTTTCCGGTTTAGATGCCTCCATTTCTGTATCATTAATTAATCGCTTCTCAAGCATAACAGCACACACTTGTAATGCTTAACCAACCAGTAGAATTCAAGAAAAAATAGCTACGAAACATACTAAACATTTGAATACATTTTAACCATGATCTTTTCTTTTTATTGCTGGCTTGAATTCATTAATCATATCTATATCTATATATATGTATCTTTATCTTTATCTATCTACCTTTAAAAAATATATATATATATAGTAGAGTTGCAACGATACACAAAATTCACGGTTCGGTTCGGTTCAATACTTTGGTGTCACGGTTCGATATTTTTTCGATACAAAAAAATGTTCATGCCTTTTTAATTTGTCATTTATTAAAATTATAAATATATATTTTAACTCAAAAGTACAGTTTTTAAATTTAATGTTGCTGAAACAACAAAGTAATAAAATAATAAATCTATCTGATTGAGGAATCACTCATCTTTGGAAAAGAGAGTTTATTACAGAGAAATGGCTCTTTCCAAAATAAAAGCTATACTATACGCTTCTTCTGGGCTATATTCTCAGCAGCATATTAAACATATCAGGTCCCCATAAGGAGAATCATGTGCTAACGGCTGTCTAAATGACTCGGGTAAAGTTTGTAGCATGCATGCTTGTTGTTTTTGTCTGCTTCCACTTGTCTTTGCACTAGGATGATGTCGGCGTAAATGTGCAGTCATATTCGTTGTGTTCCCACTAGTGCTGTCAGCGTTAATCTGAAATGACGTTAACGCCACAACACGGCAAATCTCCGTTAACGAGCTACCGCGGATCGCCCCGTGCGTGGGGCTAGACGGCGTCAACACGTTAACGAGCTAACTGCGCTAACACACTAGTTCCCACCCATGTAATTGAGCATTGCGTGGCACATCCAACATACTGTTTTACTTTAGTCCATGACGCGCTTACCTTCAGGGTCATACGTCACATGAAAACCAAAATAGTTCCAAAGGCCAGATCTGAATGAGGGTGGGGGAGGTTCAATTTGCCATGTTGCAAGAGCTTAGCTTCTGTCTTGCTATATATATATATATATCTATATCTCTATATATATATATATATATATATGTGTATATATATATGTATATGTATATTTATATCATTATGTGTATGAATATATAATTATACTCATTATATTATATTTATTCCATTGACCAGCATATTAACAAAGGTTTTTTTTTTCTCTGAGTTATATCTCAGTGAACTGCACTGAAAATAAATACGATACTTTAAACAGAAAAATAAAATGTAAGCTGTAAACGAATGCTTGTCTGCCGGTTTAAAAATAAACTTAAGGTAAGTCCCCTCAAAAGTTCATTTCAGACAATCCTGCAAACAGTGGTATATTTTGTGTCATTATTTCAGATGATTTACTTTGAAGTTTTCCCATCATGTAAATTCTTATTGATGACATTTTCCTTTATTTTCCTCCATCATTCATCCGTATATAGCAGAGGTCGTGGTGTCTTACCGGGGTAGAAGTCTTTGGATTTGGACAGTTTGATGGTGGCGCCAGTTTCTTTCTGGAGCTGGACGATGGTCTGACCTCCCTTCCCGATGATTGAACCCGCCGCATAGCTGGGAATCAAAACCTTCAGGAAGTACTCGCCTTCCTCTGCAGCAGGAAACAGGAAACAGGAAAGAAAAGTCAGAGACAGCTACTGCAGCTCATGTTGTTTTAATACAAAGCTGTAAAAGAAGAACATTACAAAAAGCTACAGTATGCATTTAGCCTTTTTAAACCTTTGCCCTCATGCGTGCCTTTTGATTGTATATTTTTCTTGCAGGCCAAATCGTTACTTCAGACATCGTTATGTGCCCAGGATTTCACAATCAGTGCATCACTTGTGTAAACTGTGAAGTGGAAGGAAAGTGTTTGTCAGTAATCACAGTCTGACAGAACAGATGCGAGCTGGTGCCGCATCGCTACGCCAAAGCAGAATTCTTTGTCTTTCATCTTTCCTCCTCAGCTCCTTCCTAAGCGACCATCCAAGGCTCCCAAAGCTGCATAAATCCACCCAATCACATCAAATGATGACTGTTATCCATGACAACTAATTATTTCTATAATCTGATGAGTCCGTGCCAGTGTTATCTCTCCCCATTCTCTGTTTGTCCGATTGCACGAGCCTCTAAACACTCTCCCCAGATTGGTCTGATCTAATTTCAGTGTTGGGCCCGAGGAATCTGGTCCTCGTCACCCTCTTGGCACGAGGAGAGGGGAGAGCCGTGGAATACGCTGCACGTCGGTTTTGTTATTCAAGCTAAACAGATTCAAACGATGGGCAGCCCTGTGGATGCATAGCACCACATGGCTGCCATGACAGTCACACAAATGCGCTGATTAACATGTGCAAATAAGCTCACGTAAACAAACACAAAGCGGGCCAGCGCAGATCCAGATATTTTATTATTTATAAATTTTCCCCTGCTTACACTGAGCTGCACCTGCTTCAAGGGATACAGTGTAAACCGTGGATATGAAAAGAAGATGTCGTCTCTTTCATCTTTATTTTCTTCACTGATTAATGGAAATAATCATTCATAAACTGTTAGAGTTCTACACATAGTTATTCCTAGTTTTAATATCTTTGCCTTGGCTCCTCCCCCCGTGTTTTTATATTTGACATGTAATTTATTTAAAAACATCGGCATGTTGATCTAACCTTCTGTAAGCCTAATGGCTGCCTCTAACACTTAACATCTGGCTAAATGTGCCAATAACGATGATAAATGATTGTTTCTTGAGAGGCACTGTTTCCTTTTAACAGATCAAATCTGCAGAGCAACTCTGAGAAACAGCATCCACTAATAATTTCTGGCTCTTTAATAAATATTTGATAAGCACCATCATTAGTCAAGAGTGCAACTGGATTTTAACATCTAGGTGAGCATACACGAACACGTTCGGCTCTGTGCAATTTATTGAAAGAAAGCGAGGCACGAAACCAAAATGTACTTCACCCAAAGCCTCCACAGTGGCGGTCTGTTGTCACAGAAATGTTATATTTGCATGTGAATCGAAAACAACCTCAGCTCCAGGTGTGTTGAATTGACTTAATAAGGTCTGACATTTTCAAGTTAATGTTTTGGGTTTGTGAAAAATCACAAAGTAAAGGAGAAAGGGAATAAACCAAAAGGTCAAAGCACACCTTAATCGATTTGTGTTCATTCAGAGCAGGGATACGTTCACTGACACGTTGACCTGAACCTTCAACCTTTTCCATGCAGCCTGCAGCTTCTTTGACAATGAAATGAGAGAGAAAAAGCAAGAGCAAGCCATTGCTCCTCTACGAAACACGGGCCTTTGCTTTTCAGTAGTATCTACATGCTGTAGGTCAACTAAAGAGTAGCACTACCTCACACTTGATTCTTTATTGCTTTGTGTAGAGACAAGAGATTTGTGTTAAATAGCAGAAAATATTAGCCCTCAAAAGAATTAAGATCCAGCAAAATTCTTAAATCACAATTTGTCTTTTTAAATATATTTTTCAATATTTTGGGCAGCAAAAACAGATTTATATATATAAAAAATAATACTGTCATATAAATTATCTTTAATAGCTACTTAATGAAGATACGTCATATTAAAGAGCTGCAGATCACAGCATATTCTCATACTTGTTTCCTTATTCTTTCCTGTTAGGACATTAATGTCATTTTTGTACAGTAACACTGAACATGCTTCCAAAAACATATATAAACAAATATAATTAAACGCATCTTTCTGAGTCATGTCTCAGAGTGTGAGAACTTGCTCAGGGACATCAGTTGGCTTAGAGGTTAGGAAACATACCACATGGGTATGAATAGCATCAGCAGGGAGTCCCTGGCTTCTTTCTTAACTGGATACAAACCAAATGTCATTCCCCAGCTTTCTTTTTGGTCTCTCCGTACTATCTGCACTGTGCCTATTTAATAAAAGCTGAATGCAACACAGTTATTCTGTGAAGAGAACCTCTTTGTTCCCTTTGGTTTTGTACATTTTTACACAGTAATGTTTCCTAGTTCTAAAATATAAAAGTGCTAATCTAAACTGTTCAGAGAGTTTTTGGAAGCTTTTAGAAAACAAATAAATTTATATTCGCATGTTTGTTATTGGAGTACCATCAATCATCTCAAAGCTCGTCCCAGCTGCCTCCAGTAGGAATAAAGGTATTTTTGGTTTCATGTGACATGTCAAACCAACTCAATAAAACAATGACTCTTAGGAATAACTGTCAGTAATTATAAACTGATTGTATCACCAAAATAAATAAAATTGCCGATGATTTAAGCCAAGAGTTCTAGATTTAGGAGCAATACACTCACCAGATTATATAATCCTATTTTTTCAGTCTTTAATATCGACTTTATGAGACTGCGAATCCATAGCAACTGTTCTATCATCTCTCTCTTTAAATTACCTCATTCAGTGTGTCTGTGCTCCCTCCCTAGCAGCATTCTTCATATTTGGTAATCCAGGACAGATATCCTCCAGAGACAGATTAAAATAGGATTACTGTTAGGGGCGCACTTTCTCACAAGGGCACGGCACCTTGTAACTGCACTTTACTTTGTCTTTCACCCACAAGTGGAGACGCCGAAGTACAAACACGGACATGCATATAAAACATTACAATGCCTGCTCTGACTATGAGGCATAAAGATGAGAGCTATCTGGACGGAAGATTTATTCCATTGCTGACTCAAATGAAGTGCCTTTAAATAGTTCTAATTCCTACGAAATCCCTGTAACACAAAACAGCAGTGGAAAGGAGGCGTTTGCGACACCTAACTATAAATAAATGTAATTAGTAAAGTGCCCTGCAGACCCCCACAGGTGTTTGCAGTTTATATGGCTGATCAGGTCCCTGCTCAGTTTGATTAAGTGCGGTCGTTGAGGAGAAACACACTGCAAGTTTGCTGAGGTTTCAAGATTCTGCACAGCAAAAACAGCAAAGAAGTTTCCGTTCTCTAAACAGGTGCAATAAAAATCACATCAAGAAAGCGATAGGAATACTAATCGCACCAGATGGATTCTGGTTTTGACTCAAACTTTCCTTTAAGATTTCAGGTGAGGTTATATAATCTCAAACTAATGATTTTAACACCCATGTTTCAGCCACACGTGTTTTCACTTACTTTGGACAATTACATTAGACTTCTCCTCTCAACTGTGCTGGATGCACAAGCTGGACACACTTAGGTCAAACAGCAGGGGTGGAAATATTCACAACTCTGAGCGGCTGGGCCCGGCTCAGTGACATTTAAAAAGACAGATAAATTGGTCTAATTATAACAAACGACTGACTTTTTCAGGCACTCTGTGTTAGTAAGTCTCAAGTCAGAAATAATTCAGAAAAGAATTATGATTTATATGTTGGCTTTGGCATAATGGTAATTACTATAACTCGATACTACATAAATGTGGAATGAATGCAGCTCTGATCCATTTGCAGACTACTCTGTAATTTAATTCTTCACTGTAAAGACAGCAAATTTGTCTATGTGTTAACACTGATGTAGTCAAAAAACATACACTGTGAATGAGGTGAAGCTGAGATCAGGAGTGAGAAAATTCCCTGTCAAGTTAATTAATAAAAGTGTGCTTACTCTAACAACGAAGAATGGCTTCTTACTATAAGAAAATACAGTACAGCGCTGTATAGAATACAAGCTGACAGCATACTGTTATTTTAGTGTTTAGTAATCTCTGAGTGATATATTATTCTAGGCTGTATCTGCATATCGTCTCCATGAACGCAGTTTCTCATTTTTCTTGAGTTATGATGAAACATCAGCTTTGCTGCCGTCCTCCTTCCACACACACGGTTATGGAAACGCAGCATTCAACATTTTAACAGCGTTCTGTGTTGTGCTGTATCCACCACAATGTCACAATACTTTAAGATGCTTTACTGAATTTTTATGTAAATCTGTCACATCATACATTCGTTAATTTTAATTACCAGAAATTTCTAAGAGCCTGATTTACAATTAATCCTTTGCTGTTTTTGTTAAACAGTGAGAAACGATTACTTGACACCCTAAAGTTGCCCTAAAGTTTTGCAGCTACTATTTTTTCCAGAGTGGGTGTTCTTTCTTTGATACTAAAAATGTTATCTCTTTGTTTGGTTTGGTTTTTTTCAATCATTTGTCCTGTGCTTCAACCCATGTGAGTTTGCAAAATGATTGTAGTGTTACTGGGTGGGCTCTGTTCTCATCTCTGAGTGTTCAGCCAAGTCAAAGCATGAGCACACAGACAGGAAACCTGAAACTCCCCTGCCCTTCCTCAGCTCTGCTGGTGATGAAATACAAACTGCAGACAGCTCACACATGGATCCAGAGGAGAGCAAAACCAACCTTACCTCAGTTTACCCACTTTTGGGTTTGGTTACTAACAACCAAATAAATAAGATGAATGAGGTTTCACCTCTTCTTTTGAAATCCTGTGCCATCTGAATTCCATGTTGTGCATTAGCAAGGCAACATTTTTGGTGTTTATTAAAGGATCTTCTACTCAGAACCACTGGTTACTAAAGTCCAACACGAAGACACCTGCTAGTAATGGTCTACCTATCTCTCACTAATCATCCTCACTTCTATATCAGTCTCTTTAGCTTGTACATTTAT